CAGGCTGATAAATGCGGTATACAAATGGAGTAAATAAATAATAAAATAAATAATGCAGCTGACACCCAGCCAGCTGTGCCACAATCCCGGTGCCTCCTAAATGTGAATAAGTGACACCACCAAGGAAAGGAAACAGGACTGCTGTGTGTTTCTTCAGAAGGTGATAGGATCATAGAATTGATAGAGGCCTGAGGGCCATCCAGTCTAATCCCTGCCACGAAGGAACATATATTCAGTCTCTTTCAAACAACCTACAAAAAAGAGACTCCACCACACTCCAAGATAGAGTTTTCTAGTGCCAAACAGCAAGCAGTTCTTCCTAATGTTTAAGTGGAATCTCTTTTCTTGTAGTTTGAATCCATTCCTCCATGTCCTCATCTCTGAAGCAGGAGAAAACAAGCTTTCTCAATTTTTAATATAACATCATTTCAGATACTTGATTCTCATGCCACTTCTTAATCTTAATCTCACTTCTTAATCTTCTTTGGAATATACCTACCCAGATCGCTGAGTTATGCGGATCTCTTTCTTGAATTGCTCTGCCCAAAACTGGGCATAGGATCACACTAGAGAATGAATCCACTTGCAATCCGGTTTCTGCCTCCTGCATAATTCTGGGGTTTGTGATTTAGGGAGGAGACTTTAACAGCCTCACTAAACTACAAACCCCAGAATTCTGCAGGAGGCAGAAACCAGATTTTTTCTCTAGGTGATGAAGTAGCAACTGAGGTCTAACCGAAGCATAATAGAAATAGTATTACTTCTTTTTATCTAGAACAGAGCTTCCCAAACTTTGTGTCACAATTTGTTACCGTGTTGGCTCCAGTGTGTCACATGAATGTAACAGGAAACCTGAGTCTATGTGAAATAAGCAATAATATATATTGTCGAAGGCTTTCATGGCCGGAATCACTGGGTTGTTGTAGGTTTTTTCGGGCTATATGGCCATGGTCTAGAGGCATTCTCTCCTGATGTTTCGCCTGTATTTATGGCAAGCAGAGGTGGTGAGGTCTGTTTAAACTAGGAAAAAGGGTTTATATATCTGTGGAATGACTAGGGTGAGACAAAGGACTCTTGTCTGCTGGAGCTAGGTGTGAATGTTTCAACTGACCACCTTGATTAGCATACAATGGACTGACTGTGCCTGGAGCAAACTTTTGTTGAGAATTAATTAGATGTCCCTGCCTGCTTCCTCTTTGTTATTGTGCTGTTGCAATTTTAGAGTTTTTTAATACTGGTAGCCAGATTTTGTTCATTTTCATGGTTTCCTCCTTTCTGTTGAAATTGTCCACATGCTTGTGGATTTCAATGGCTTCTCTGTGTAGTCTGACATGGTGGTTGTGAGAGTGGTCCAGCATTTCTGTGTTCTCAAATAATATGCTGTGTCCAGGCTGGTTCATCAGGTGCTCTGCTATGCCTGATTTCTGTGGTTGAAGTAGTCTGAAGTGCCTTTCATGTCCCTTGATTCATGTTTGGGAGATGCTGCTGCGTTTGGTGGTTCCTCTGTAGACTTGTCCACAGCTGCATGGTACACGGTAGACTCCTGCAGAAGTGAGAGGATCCCTCTTGTCCTTTGCTGAATGAAGCATTTGTTGGATTTTCTTGGTGGGTCTGTAGATAGTTTGTATGTTGTGTTTCCTCATCAGCTTCCCTATGCGGTCAGTGCTTCCCTTGATGTATGGCAGGAACACTTTTCCTCTGGGTGGATCTTCATCTTGACTCTCGTGGCTTGTTCTCGGTCTTGCAGCTTTTCTGATGTCTGAGGTGGAGTATCCATTGGCCTGTAGAGCCCAGTTGAGGTGGTTCAGTTCATCTTGGAGGAGGTGGGGTTCGCAGATTCTTTTTACACAGTCTGCCAAGGCTTTAATTGTGCTTCTTTTTTTACTTGGGTGATGGTTGGAGTTTTTATGTCTCACCCTGGTCATTCCACAGCTATATAAACCCTTTTTCTTGGTTCCAACAGACCTCACTACCACTGAGGATGCTTGCCATAGATGCAGGCAAAACATCAAGAGAAAATGCCTCTAGACCATGGCCATACAGCCCGAAAAAACCTACAACAACCCAATAATATATATTTTTAAATATAAAAGTTCTCAAGTATGTTTCCCCATACATTTAATTATGCAATTTATGTATATGCCCATGCATCTTATAAGGCATTAATTTAAACTCCAATTTGCCAGTAAAACTGAATAATTATATGGTGAAATGATGCATGTCTTAAAAGTATGTCACCAACATGAAGTGTTTGTAAGGCTTTGATAAAGAATCAATACTCATGTTGATGCAATCTAGAAGCTCATTGGCTTTTTAGCAACCATATTGCACTGTTGACATATTCAGTTTGTGGTCTACTAAGACTTCTAGATCCATTGTGAATGGAAAGCATGTGATCCCTTTCATATGGAAACAGCAAATGTTCCACTCATCATGACAGTAAGTAACTGGAGGTGTATTTCCTTTCAAACTTGATATTGCATTTAGTCATTATGAGCAACAGGCATGTCATACAAGCACCAGAGCATAATTGAACTTTCTTTCTGAAATCCTATTTTAATTTACAAACACCATTACCTCCTTGTACTGAGTTTCAAAAACTGTGTCCCACATAGCATGTGAAGAAGTCATTTTATTATGAACCTGCTGACATAATTTAAATTTGGCCCTTTCTTATCTTTTTGCAGAGAACGTATTACCTGTTGAAACCAGATATTTCAGCCACAGTTACTAAGTCATGAAGAAGATGGATCTCTTCAATTTAGTACCTATGAATACTTCAGAATAAACTTGTAGGATATGAAGGAGTTACTTGTGTTTATGTTCAGAGTCATCATGAGAAGAATAGGACCAACTAACCACCACAGGGGAAGAGTATTTCACACACACCAATTTAGTAACACTTTGTTTGCTTGTACAGTTGTTCCAAAAAGATCAAATAGCCCTCTTTTTGAGTTCAGTGCACCCACTATAATTGAATATTACAAAGCCAATAAACACTTAAGTCTCAGCAGGTATATTTTTACAATAATACAACAAATTATATATTAGAATTGATACATATATACTGCCCCCCCCCCCAATCCATCCAGTGAGATGCTAGCTTAGGAATTGATTGCATGACCCTTTGCACAGGCTGATCAGTATTTCTGCAACATTTCCTTCAACTTTAAAATCCTAATTAAAAACATACAAAACATAAGCAAATAGAATCTAGAAATCAACAAAAGCTTTACCCTTTGTTACCTCTTGTTTCCCATGGGCAAAGGGTTATTTTTGAATTCCAAAAGACCAAAAAGAGCATGCAAACTTAGAAAGTCTATCTTTCAATCAGCCTGCCTGGAATTCCAGGAATGACAGCAAGAGATGTCCCAATTGTCAATCCTACAGCACCAATCTCACTCTGTAGACACATTCAATCATAATGTCAACTTCTTTTGACTTCTTTAGACATCTTAGTTGCCTAAATACTTTCTCTTATTTGATTAAGTGAGTACATTAATCACGTTTATGCCTTTAATTGAGCTACTCAAAACACTAAACATTAGACACTGACTGAGGCTACCTGAACCATTAAGGAAGTAAACACTGGCTAACTATAAACAAGTGGACACTGGTCAGGTCACCCAATCGGATGAATAATGGTCAAACTTGATAATCAGGTCAAGGCATCCCACATTCCATATGTTCCCAATTACCTTTGACTCTAAGAAACATATTCAGCAAGAAAAAGCAGAGCTCAAAGAAAATTTTAACCTTCAGGTTTTTAGGGGATTAGCCAGAGCTGGGGGTGGTGACGGCCAATAGGGAGCACTGGCGTGGGCTGATCTATGAGGTCATGAAGATTTAGAAATGACTGAACGAATGAACAATAACAAAGCCAGAGCAATTGTGACATAATACTGCCTCCCTTGATAAACAATAGTATTTCTCAGTATTTCCACTACACCTCTGAAATGCATTTTTAAGGTGCAAAGCAGTAGGGTTCCAAAATGAAACATACACCAATCTATTTAAACCAGTGGATCTTAACCTGTGGTCCACGAACCAACAGTGAGCCATGAGAATGAAAATCTGGTCCATGAGCCTCCTTCCTCTTGATTTTATTTTATTTTATTTCTGCTCCTTTCACACCACCTGCCACTCTTTCCCTGTAGCTGACCATGGCATATGTTCTGTGTCAGAAAATAGAGCTGATGAGGTCTATCCAATGCAATTTTCTGAATCAGCACCCCAAACCAAATCTGAAGTCGACCAAAAACTGATTTGTAACCCTTTTGGTACTAATATTGGAGTGTGGTCCATGGTCAAAGTGGTCCCTGGTCAAAAAGAGGTTGGGAACCACTAGTTTAAACAAAAATTTGGGGAATCTTGGTTGAAAATATATCAGTAAACAGAAGACAATGTCTGATTTATTAGGCAAAAGAAAGATTACTGGTATGAATGCAGTGTTTTATTACAAACTGGAGATAGAAGAGCATGTTTTTGGAGTAACCAGTAATTACTACAATGCCTACAAATCTCATTCCTCCAACATCAGCCAACAGATCTCAACTGGTTGATTCCAAGTAGGAGTGAAAGTATATAAGAAAATAGAGGTATTAAAAAGCTCAAGAAGGATAAACATAAAATAAGGACTGATCCACCACCGGGGAAAATCCGAAGAAATGCCCCAACTCAAGAAGGAAGAAATACAAGCAGAAAACCCCACTTTGAAGAGAAACAGAAGAAGGTACCCCCCCTCTCTTATCCTATATATATATATGTGTGTGTGTGTGTGTGTGTGTGTGTGTGTATCCTTTATTTCCTTTCCCCTACCCCCTCACCCCTTTCCCTCCCCCTCGTACATCCCTATGATCACTCTCCCCGGTTTTATTGCTGTATAAAGAAAATTTACGAATAAAAAATTATATATATATAAAAAAGCTCAAGAAGGAGATTAGGCCAAGGATGAGGAATAACAGAAGAATCAAGATATAGCTACTTGACTTCATTTCTTACAGAAAAGTTCACCTATCAGCATGCTGTGCAACCCAAATAGGCATGTTATTCTAGTCATCAGAATTACAGAGGGATTTCTGGGGAGCATCGGTTTTTGGAGGTGAAGGTGGTGAAGTCCAAGTGTTAACAGGTTTTGTTGCTTCTTCACATTCAGGACGCCAGCTCTCTCTAGATAATTTAACAAGCAGGTTATTACTGAATCATTAGTTTTCACTACTGCCGTGACTTTTTTCGTTGATGCAGCTATTTAACATTTCCATCTTTGCATCCTAACCACAACCCCAAACTCATCCCCAACTGTAACGCAACTCTAACCCAGCCCTAACCCTAACCCAACCTCAATTCTAATTTTAACCCCATCCCTAATCATTGCATGCCAGCATGCTTATATGGCTGTATAAAGGATTCTGCTTTTGAATGTGTGCATGAGAGGGAGAGAGAGAAATAGACTCCTTGTATTTAACACCACTACAATTTGAACATATTTATTTGCTTGCTCACAGTCCATGTGAGAAAGATCTTGGAGTCTTCATGGGCAACAAATTGAACATGAGCCAACAGCAACAAAAAAAGCCAATGGGATTTTGGCCTGCAAAAATAGGAGTAAAGTGTCTAGATCCAGGGAAGTCATGGTACCTCTCTATTCCGCTTTGGTTAGACCTCAGCTGGAATACTATGTCCATTTCTGGGAACCACAGCTCAAAAGAGATATTGACAAACTGGAAGGTGTCCAGAAGAGGGCAACTAAGATGATCAAAGGTCTGAAGACCATGCCCTATGAGGAGTGTCTTAAAGAACTGAGGATGTTTAGCCTTCAGAAGAGAAAGTTGAGAGGAGACATGATAGCCATGTATAAATATGTGAAAGGTGTCATAAGGAAGAGGAAGCAGATTTGTTTTCTGTTGCCCTTGAAACTGTGACTTAGAGCAATAGGTTCAGGAGATTCCACCTGAACATTAGGGATAACTTCCTGACCATACAAACTGTTTAACAGTGGAACTCTCTGCCTCAGAGTGCGGTGAAAGTTCTTTTCTTGGAAACTTTTAAACAGGGGCTAGATGACCATCTGTTAGGGATACTTTGATTGTGCTTTTCCTGCATGGCAGAGCATTGGACTACATGGCCCACGTGGCCTCTTCCAACTCTATTATTCTACAATTCTATGATGTATATCTGCTTTTCTCCCCATGGGGAATCGAGACAGCCAACAAGCACACAATCCAATAACTTTTAAAAACAAAGCAATACAATTTAAAAATCAATTAAATACTACTGTGCAGATTTTGGCTAAATTACACTTAATATAATAAATATAATTAAAATTACATTTAAAATTGGACTTATGTTCAAGAAGGAAAGAATTTAAGCTACACAATGTTCACTCGAGAAAATGGAGCTGAAAACATATCCACTAGGGCTGGGCGGTTTCGTTCGTTAATTTCGTAATTTGTTATTAATTCGTTATTTTTTTTGATAACGAAGCGATATTGAACCATTCAGGACCAACTAAAAATCGAAACGAATTTTTCAATTCGTTTCGTAATTGTTTTGTAATTGTTTTGAAATCGTTTCGAAATCGTTTCGTTATTATTTCCGCATGTCTGGTGCAAGTTTTATAGTTGTTGTTTGTTTTATCAGTGAAAAAAATATATAATTATCACACCAACAGTCAACAACAGAGGGAGAGGGAAGCTTCAGAAGTTCCCCCTGTCCCATTTGGAGGTTTTTTTAGCGTATTCTGCGGTCGCATCCGCCATTAACGAATCGATTCGTAATTGTTTCGTTATTGTTTCGTAATCTCCGAAATTTCGTAAATTTCGAACTTTTTTAAAGAAAAATTTCGGCATTCTTTTAAAAATCGAAACGCAAAAAACCCCTAAAAACGAATCGAGTTTAGAAACAAATTTTTCCATGGTTGCCCAGCCCTAATATCCACATGTATTGTCAAAGGCTTTTGTGGCTAGAATCACTGGGTTGTTTTGTGTTTTCTGGGCTGTATGGCCATGTTCCAGAAGCATTCTCTCCTGACATTTCACCTACATCTATGGCAGGCATCCTCAGAGGTTGTGATGTCTCCTCACAACCTCTGAGGATGCCAGCCATAGATGCAGGCAAAATGTCGGGAGAGAATGCTTCTGGAACATGGCCATACAGCCTGGAAAACACACAACAACCCAACATATCCACACTTTCTTTTCCTTCCAACTTCTGATCAGTTCCGAATCTGGTTCACCTTCAGAATATTTGCTACATATTCTGCCTTTATGCCACTTTATGATATTCGTCCTGAAGAAAGGTGGCTTACCTAAAACAGCAAGTCACATCTACGTTGCAGGTCCCATATTCACCAAAGCACGAGGGACACTTGGCAGCATGATAACAGAAACCTCCATTAATCTCACAGCTGGATACATCATGTGGAGTGTCTGGAGATGTTCCTGTACAAATTAAAAGACGAAATGTTCACCACCATTCTTTTCAAAAAAGAAAATCTGATTAAATGGAACTATTGAGAGCTATGGTTTCTTTGTGATAAAGGCTGTGAGCTTATTTGGATTATTGTTTGTGAATTTTAATAATCTGCCCTCCCCTATTTGAGCATTTCCTCTCCAAACAGTTCACCATCACTGTTCTAGGTTATTCCTCTTCCTTTCCAATGAAATACCTGTGAATAGCAGGGAAACTTGTCAGGGGTTCAAATCAGCATGCAATTTCCTGTTGGGTAACAGAAAGGATCTCCAGCAAAGGATCACCGCCTTGTCGGGGCGCTGGAGCTTGAGCACCTCAATGATGTCATGAG